ATACAGATTTAACTATTGGTGATTCTATAGTATGATTTGATCCTCTTCTATGAAACTGTAATAAATCATTAATTATTTAAAACAATTAATATCTAAAGAGAAATTTTCATCAGGATACATCGGTTAGCCACCTTATAAGTAATGGCACAAACATTTTTTTTTACTATTTATTTATTAATATACTATACTAATTATACTAAACTGAAGTATCACTCTAACCCTGTTTTAATAAAAAAAAAAAATTAAAAAAATATTTCTAGTTAAAATTTCTCTTTAAAACAAAATAGCTATCGATTACAAATTGTGAAGAATCATATTGTAATTTATATAATATACTCGTATTTATATATTAATACACATTTCAAAGTAAAACAAAATAACTATGAAGTAATGACCACATTACATTTTACGTTCATTGTTAATGTGCACACAATATACATAGTAAATATGTCAAATAAATTATAACACTGTGAAATCCGTCCGGAACAGACTAAGGATGAATCAGAATACTGTTGGAATTTATTTGGTTCCCAGCAAATGGTGCGCCATTAAAAATCAGCAGATCAGTCAGAATACTTATTTTAGTACATTTTACATTTATGTATATAAATAATAAATAAATAAATTTATACTCCATTTACCATTACTTTTATTAATGCATCTAATATGTACTTCAAATGTATTTTTTTTTTTAAATTCAATTTCATAATTACCAATTTTCTAAAGGCTACAACAATGTAATATTTTTTTTTAAATTATTAATTAAATACTATTAATGGTCCCTTAAAAAATAATTACAACATTTAGATAAAAATGTAATGTATACTTATGTCTTACATCATATCTGATAAATTTTATTACTGTAAAATATTTAATAATTTAATTTTCTTCTTTTACTATTAAATAAATTTGTAATTTTTAAATATGTAATACAAATTTAAAAATCATGTACATGTTAGCATTTTTCATTTTTTAGTATATTAATATTTACACAACTATTCTATCATTTTTATTATTATTTATGAAATGTCTTATTAAATACTTGGTTGAAAATGTATCAATTTAAGCTTATACTTATTTTTTATTTTTTAAAGAATATAAAAGTATATAAATTATAAATTTTAATACATAGTTTAGGGCATTGGCAAATAATAATAATAATTTTGGATGATATTAAATTAAATTTATTTCTCTATAAACAGTATTAAATATTTTCAAGGAAGTGAAGAAATTAAATATTTTATAAAATGGAAATACTAACTGCTATAACCTTATTATTCAATTTCAGAATAAGCACCCATGGATGAAAGCGAAAGAGCTAATAATATTAAATATTTTATGTTACGAGAAGTATGTACTTTGGGGAGTTAAAACGAGGAACAAGAGTTAAGTACAATATGATATAGTTTTTTTTTTTTAATAAAACCATTTTGACTGTTCTAAGTAATAAACAATTATAGTTAGATTAACATTTTGAGCGAAGCGTAACTAACTGGTTATGAAAGAATTTTAACAAAATAAATTAAATCATTTTTTCATAATTTAGAAATAAAATGTTAACTATGAATTTCAATCACTTTGTAACAAGTTTTTCGAGCAAAAATTATAAAATAAGAGAATTGTACACGATTAATACTATTAGGATTAGTATTGCTAGGACGGTAAATGGCTTGTAGTTGGGTCAAAATTGTCAATATCTATATGGCTTTACAACCTAATAATCAGGGTTGGGATTTTATAGCACTTAAAATTGCATAAATATACGCTATAATATTACTTTAAAAATCGCTAAATAAGCTCTAAAAATATGCAATAAAAAAAAAAAGGAAATGTATTGTTTAATAATTTTGTACGAGCACAAGAGACGAATGTGGACTGTATAAAACGAATTTTACACTCGTTCGTTAATAATCGGTTATTAGTAGATTTAGTAGAAATCGACAAAAAAAAATCCAACAAAATCAGCAGATAACAAAAATTAGAACCAAATAACTAAAACGAAATTATCATAATATTATATTATACCCACTTATATATTATCGCTGTAATTGTACAGCGTTGCATCAGTTTAATCGGTCTATTTACTTAATAACCTATACATTTATAATTTACTTGAAAATTCGATTGATAAAAATCAAAAAACACGTTTACTAAAATACAATTTCATAAAATATAGCCAATTTTAATTAAAACGCAGGTAAAATGCAAAAAAGTCTCAAAAAATCCAAAAAAAGCACTAAAAACTAAAAAATGCAAAATACAATTTTTTATTTGAGTTCTCTGTATCATGAAACACATTTTTAACTTACTCTGCTATTTTTTAAGCATCTCATAAGAAATATGCAAATGCTATAAAATCTCCACCCTGCTAATAACATATATATCAGATAGTATACTCGTATATATTATTTTGCTAATATGTATGTATTATGCACAAATGTATTACAATTATAGTAAATAGTTATTTTATATAGTTAGATATACATATAACAGGCGAGGGCTTAAAATTGTGTGCAGTATACTATGTGTAACAAGGACTGGAACCGTTTGAATTCATAGTTATCAGTTCCGGTACTGGTTCCGGAATAAAAAAAAATGTTCCGTTTTGGTTTCGGTAGTCTTATATACTCATATCAATACTAAACAAACATTTATTTAAAATAATTAAATTTTTTTTGCACTTTTTTTTAATCAGTTTTATTTTTATCATATTACCATAATGCATATACAATAACAGCCCTAGACCACGAATGCTTTAATTTTCGTTTCAATTTGAAATTAGCGAATTATCCAAGGATATCGCTTATCTGTGGATGCCATGCCACCTTATTCCGTGGATAATTGACAATACACTGTATATATCTTTGGTGCTCAGTCAAAAGGTGTTAAAACAAAAATTATAATTTTTCATTAAGATTTAATAAATGTCTGAATTTCAGTTTTTTTAAATCAATTTACATTACATAAACTTTGTTGTACTCTTTTTATTCTATCTTAAAAACAAAATTTTTCCATTATACTTTTTGAAATATTCGTATGATTTAGTCTAATTATATACACTAATTATGAATTTAATAACGAAATTATGAAAATAACATAAGGAGATTCACATTGAAAATTTCATATAAAGAAATTATTGACAAATTCGCCAAACTTAAAGCAAGAAAATCAAATTTTTATAGTTTGATATTTACACTATAATCATAAATAATAAATTTAAATTGCATTTTTAAAAGAAATAGTAAAATTAAAGACTAAAAAATATTTCATCGCCGGTCACTTACGAATCTGTGTATGCGATTTCGACCAAAAATATTGCTCCGATAATTACAATCATAAGAAATTTCTGATAGAAAATGGTTGGTTAAAAACTACTTTGATGGAGGACATTTTACAAATTTCCTTACAGTTTTCTGTATAATTGTGAAAAACTGACGAAAAGTTAAAAACAAAACTGCAGCATTTACGACACACCGGTTTTCAACAATATTGAATTTTAGATTAGATCCCATTTTTTTATGCAAAAGTTAGAACCTTATTAAGAAATTTGGTCTTACTATCATAACGACTATTTTTAGAATATAAACTGATTAACTCGACCACTTTCACTTAGTATCATTTATTCTAGAACAACGGTACATCAAGTTAAAAAAAACCAATACAGCAATAACATCAATCCATCCCTGTCTTCCTTGTCTTCCCTGTCATCACTATCTCACCCGACCGTGAAGTCTAACGCAATCTAGGAGTTTCATCTTTTTAATCTATATTTTAATTTTTTTTACCGAACTCAAATAAAATAATATATAAATTGTTAAAAAAAATATCATCTTAATAATTTTAATATTTATTTGTACTTATCTTGAACTGTATACAATATATAATTCACACATTTTTAATCTTACTAAAGAAGTCTGAAAAATTTTTAAATTTACTCTAATAGTTTTCTATTACTATTTTAAATATTAAAAACGCATATTTTCAAGATCCGATTAAGATATTTTGCGCCCAGGGTAAATATCCCTAAGACTCGGAAATTGTTTTTATAAACATGAATAGTAAGTGTATTAATATAAAGACGTTCCCCTAAAAATTCTTCAATCTATGCTCTTAGCTATACCTCATTTAGTTACGATAAATTTTATTAAAAGTCATAAGAAAAATAATGAAAAAATATGTTTATATGTATTAATATGTATATTTGTTTGTGTATGTTAAATATGTATCAATCTTTTTAATATAAGAGTAAGAATAAAGAATATAAACTAATAAACAATATTGATATTATAATAAAAAGAAAATTAAATTATAAAAATAATAATTTTGTAAACATGATTACAATTTAAATTGAATAAATTAATTAAAATTATTATATAAAACACTGGTAAATTATGTAAGCACATTATTTTATTTTTGTTAATTATAAAATTTTTATAAAGATACTTTCCTTGACTTCTGTTAAACGAATCGGCCAATTATCTTATGAAATTGGTCCAAACAGAACATTTTCAATATTAATTACAACAGTAGATGAATTTAATTTTTCTTTTTAAGTAGTAGCAAATCATGTTTGACCCTAAACAGGACATGGTTTAAAAAGTGTGAGATCTCCAAATCTTGCACGCGGGGGTAGATTCTCCCCCGCTGCAACCCTCTAATCCGGTTCTGCATATTTTGATATAAAATTTGCTGTTAAGATAAAAGACATTCTTCTTCCTCCCCTCCCGTCCACTCTGAAAAACCTGTCACCGAGACGGCTCATCCTCTCGTCATGTTTGCATTTCAGTGATAACAACACTGGTCTACAAAATTAAACTTTTTTTAATCATCAGGGTTGTATATACATTTTTCCAAACCAATTTTTTGTACTGATTTCAAATTTGTAATTAGATTTTTTCCATCACCTTTATTTTTTTAATTATTGTTATTTCATTTTTTATAGGTATAGAATATATTTTGAAATAAAATTACTAAATTAAATGTTTATTTTACTGGTTTTTTCAATGATTGAAATTGCATGAACAAATTATGGAATAAATTAATTCAAACAAATATTTAAAATAAAATAATTAAATTAAAAAGGCAAATAATTTACAAATTTAAATATTTAAAAATGTTGTGAAAATGATTTTCTGTTATATTTTTTATCAGGTACGTCACGATGTAGCATCCAGCAGTAGTCCGCTAACATACTTTCATTCCAAAAACCCTGGTAACGTGTTTCCATTAACTGGATGTCTTGTCCATCTTTCGCCTTGTCCATCACTTACCGCACCTAAACCAAATATATAAAAAAAAAAGAGAATAAATATCAAATATTGTTTACTTCATGCAGTCGAACCTCTATCGATAAAATGGTTTTGTCTTCACAAAATTAATTATATTAATATTATATAGTTTTATTATAAAATCGATTTTTCCCGTATTGCTTAGGGGGTAGGTGATAATTATTGTCCATCTGTAAATTCAATTGGTTAGGTAGTATTTGAATAAAAAATATTAATATTAATTAATATTAGTAAAATATTAAACTATTATCTTCAATGTTCTTCAATCACCATTGTAATATATGTTTTTATGTTATAACATGTTTTTCTATGTGTAATTTTTAGTATAATTAAGCCAGGGGTGGATCTGAAACTTATTTAAGGAGGGTGTAAGTAGGAATATTCTATATATATATAGCAATATTTACAGCTGTGTACTTATATCAAAAATAAAAATAATATAAACAAATCCGAAGGTGGGGCGATCACCACGCCCCCTCCCTCGACCTAAGGGCCCTTTGTTCAGATCGCGGATTTGGCCTTTTGACGTCAATCCGACTCTATTAAGACCTTCTTCTGGAAGTATTGGAATAGATAACGAAGCACTGTGTCTAATTGGTCTAATTGCAGAGTCTAAGCATGGGTTAATAATATTATGTTAATTTTTTTTCGAAAAACCACTTACGTTTACATTACAAAAGTAGCAATCGTTGTAATGATTTTTTTGTTCTCTCCATACCATTGGTATTGCAAATGGCATAGACGATTTTCTTTTGTTCAACCAATCACGCAATCCGTTAGAACAAGCACTACATATAGTTTGTGGTACCCATGCTTTATCTTGGTCACCAAGGGGACAATCAAAATATAACTTGTAAATATTCCGAAGATCATTTATAATTTTACGCCGTTGTGTTTTAATTGCAAATGATCCACAAACATAACAAAAAATATCTGGATGATTTTTACACCGACGAGCTGTAACGGACCGCGGTTTGCTCGAACGCCAACAGGACGCTGCAAAAACCCGTCGTAGTTTGACAGCGCAAGTCATGGTCACCGTCGCGCAGTTCCGTCCGTTTTCGTTGTTTGCGTAGTATTACACGTACGTGAGACAATTCATATCGTCTACACATCAGGCAGGTAAGACTGCGCAATAACGTAAGATCCAACGAGTAATAGACATCGTACCCTATAATAATGTACAGCGGCGTATGAAACCTAGGCGCGTACGTATCATATAGTGGTCACGGTCTGCCGACGTCGGCAAAAACGATCCGTCCGTCTATATAATAATCTCTATCTTGATGCGCGCGCGCTCCTCTTCGATAATAACATTAACGGGGAACGCGTAACGCAATATTGTTCTTTTTTTTTTTTTAAAGTGAAAACGTTCGCGTTTGCTTAATGTAACGTCACGCATTACATCGAACGTTCTCGCGGAGTGTGCAACGCCGCCGCCGCCGTCAACGAGAGCTGATGTAACCAACGACTGAAGCACTTTAGCGCGTGCAGTACGGCGCGCGTTCGATTTACATGCTCGTAAAATTCATAACAAGTACAATTTTTCGTGCGGCGGCGGCGGCGGTGAGTACGCGTTTCCCCGCAGTTGGCCGCGGCGACGGTCTGGTTACGAAAATAAAAAAATAAAACGTTTTAAATACTAATAATAATAAAAACACTGTTACCGACGCAGAAGCGCGCGCGCAATCGTCGCCGGACGTTTGACCAGGCCGGATCGCGAAGTCTCGAGCGGTGCCGTCGCACCGCGGTGTCCGTCTGCGCCATCATCGTTTCCGTCGGTTCCGCGGTCGTCGCCTCCGTCATCCCTAGCGCCGACCCGGACCGCACACGTGCGCATTCGCCTCCGTTGCCGCAACTTTAAGGTAAATATTCAACGTCGTTAGAACGTGCATTACAGTATAACGTCTAGGGATATACGTAAGGCTCTGTAACGACACACACGCGATTTAATATTACAGATGATGTTCTCGCGTCGTTGAGATTTTCGGCAAGCGAATAACGGGTGTTTCTGGTAGGGGATGGGATAATAGGATTTTTTCGGCAAATATTTTTTTCCATGTGGCAGCATGTCGAAAACGGTTAGTATTACCATCTACTTTTCAAACCGTAAAACACGGTTTTCGATCTTCTCAGTGCAGCAGTGTGCGAAATAAAACAAATCGAGATTATTTTTAAATCTTCAACCATGCACTTACTTCTGTCGATAATTGTTTGTTCTTTTGATGAATAGTTTTTTTCTTTGAGATTATTTTCTTATGCGTTCGATACGTTTCAAATATCATGACAAATATTTATTTTCTTACAAGCACTATAAATATTATTTGTAAATACATTACTGCAGTGAACGGAGCTTTGATCAGAATCGTCTTTTTAATGCGATGCTATAGTTTTTGAATTTAAAGACATCTGTTTCTGTAGAATTTCAGTTGCTCCTGTTCGTCTCTCTGGAAATTTTTTCATTCGTCTATCGAATGTACCAAAAAATTATTGTGTTCACAACGAGAATACGTTTCATGATCAAAGAAAACGCTGTATAAATGCACTGAATTTAGTTTTAAGTTGCATATTATGTACTTCTATAGATAACGACCAACAACAATGGTGACAGTTGCAAGATAGTCTCCGTTTAAGAGTCGTAGATGTCTTTTGACTGTGAACGGTATTTTTATATGATATATACGGAAATACCGCTATTAGAACTTAGCTTCCAAACGCTCAATGAGACGAAATGCATCATCCTTGTCCCGAATTCAGATAAGAAAAATATTTTAAAGTACTCAAAATCCACTTTATCCTTATAGTACTTTTCCCGTAAAGGGAGTCAACCATCTTGACATACTGTATATAATAAAAACGTTATTAATTACTTGTAATATTTTTATTTTTTACCCGACAAAACATCATACTGAATCAACATACTGAATTAAATTATTATATATAAGTATAATACTTGCAATCGTCCTGTCTATTTTATCATTCATCATATTTAATGTGGCAATTTAATTTTATCAAAGACCAATGTTCTGATAATAATAATAATATTTTTATCTCTATAAAATTTAGCTTTTTGCGTTTTGTAAAATAACAATCAATATATTACATACACAAAGAAAACAAATTAATAAAAACACACATACACACATACACGAACGCATGTATATATTTATGTAAATATATATTAGGTAATATAATATAATTTATGTACACACTACATACAATATAATAGGTTACCAAGCCCGTCAATCCATAGTATAGAATTTAAATCAAAATGTTATTCAACTGAGCTCAAGATTTATATTGTAGATCTTTGATCTTAAATATTTTCTGTAGGTAATATATATATATAATTTTAATTTATTATTTATTGTCATGCTTCATTTTAAACTAAGTAAATTAAACTTATTTTATATCAATTGTGACGTGTATTTATAATGGGTCATGTACTCACACATTCACATTATTTACATATGTATTTGAATATTATATTTATCCGATAACTAATCCATAATTATTTGATACAATTATAAATTATAAACAAATTATAATTTTTGATTTTTAATTTACTAATTATAAGTAAATGCTGCCAATTTGTAAATAATATTTGTTTTTATACTATGGTTGGATAGTTTAGATGGTTTATTCTTAAGATTATGGTGTTGACATGTTATGAAAAAAAAATAAAATTATCATTATTCGTAGATATTTGGCATTTTGTTGGAAAATTTAAATCATAGTAGGATAAAATAAGAGTTTTCCAATATTTTTTTTTTCTAACCAAATTAATAGAATTTAAAATAAACGCCTCAATAATTCAAAATAATAAATAAATAAGCCACACCTTAAAAAATAAATTAATTCTATGTTGTATTTTTTATGAATTTTTACTATGAGGTATAAAAAGAATAAAGATACAATAAACCTTAGTTAGTCTTACAACATTAGTAATTACTAACATTAGTCTTAAGTAATATAAGGTTTTTTTTTAAAAAAAATACTTTATAAGATGGTAAAAGTGGTTTAATATTTTCATGGACTTATTTGGCTTATAAATATTTGAAAGTATACTCAAATTGTACTTCAAAGATATTTTTTTTGTTTTACATAAAATTCAATTGCGTAAAATGATTAAATTTATGCTTTTTCTCATTTTCGATTAAATCTGGTTAATTTATAAGTAAAATAAAATCAATTTTAACTTAAGGTTATCAGTTATCTAAAAAAAAAAATTATATTTTTTTCTGTATATGTTAGTTTACGTGAACATTTATTATAAAACAATTAATCTATTTTCAATATTTATATATATTATTATTTTGTATGTAATACATTCTTTTATAGAATATTTCTAATTAGTAATTACACACGTTTACAAAATTATAATTAGTTTCAAAAAATTTATAAAATATAAATTACACTGGACATTTGAATCGGTTTTTGTTTAATGTTTCAATAGCCGAGGTTTTGGGAAATAATAAAAACTGACGAACTTTCAAAATATGATAACTGTGTTCATATACATTAAGTGAATAGTAGTTAATATTTATGCCAAATATTGATACTGTAGTATTATTTTATTTAAACTTTATAAGTTTAAAGTTGCTCCACATATGCCCTTTTAACAAAAATCAGGATAATTGTACATAAATAATGAATAAATATTTTTAGTTTTGGTTTTACTTTAATTGAAAAAGAATACTTATGAATTTAAAAAACTACATATTATCTTTAAAATGGCTGGTAAAAATATTTTTTTTTTAATGTCAAGAGAATAGTTTTTGTCTTAATTTATAATATTAAATTTAATATCTTCTGAATGTCTTTAAGTTTGGATGGTTTCATCGGGACTTCTAAATTTGTATACAGTAAATTTTGAGGAAGGAAGTTAGTACGAGTTGAGTAGGCTAAGCAAAATGTGTATACTACTAAACTGTTGATACAAGATATTGCTTTACAAATTACCTTTGGTAGTTTAGTCATACATAAAATGTTAATACGAGTTTATTTTAAATCTATTCTGCTGTTGTCTTGGTTTCTTTCTAGTTTCTCATAAAATAGGGCCTTATTTATAGTACCTACCCCGCCTTACTAAAAATCAAAAATCATATTATTATGTTATATTATAATATTATCATATTCTCTATCACTAAGACTTTTTGATCTACACTAATTTTATTCCGTTAGCTAGTGGATGGTATACAAGCGGTTGCATTTTCTTAAAGGCCTTTTTATAATCCTAAAATCTCTATTACATGGAAAGTAGCGGTGACTAATTATGGTGGAAAAATGTTTTTTTTTTTTTTTTAAACGACCTATGTATATCTAAGCCAAAAACAACCGGGGTATTACATAATTATTGTTTTGTCCACCACAGTTGTCTGCGTAAACGTATAGTTCATTATTCTTCATGGATACTCTGGCAATATATTGTTTTAAGAAAGAACAAACCTGATTAGGTTCCTTTTTGTCTAGTCTTCGTAATAAATAAATATCATTAGTTTCGGTTAATAACTTTGCTACAAAAAACGTAATCAGCCAATTGACGTACATAAAAATATACTTACATAGGAATCTTAAGCAAAAAACATTCATTATAATTCATTGTAAAAGCAAACACGTTTTCGTATAATTTAATGCTATACGTATAATCTAAATTAATATGATATTTGTTATCTGAATATTATATTGTCAATAAGTACGATAAATAAGGACTGAAAAATAATATTATATTAATATTAAAAATTCAACAAAAATTACGACGAGACAATATTTTTCCAATATTTATCTAGAATTTTTTTTGTTAAAAAGGTATTTGTGTTGCACATGTCTCCGATTAATAAATATCACAAAATAAATAATTTTATATTTTTCTTACGGTCCATATATCGTTTTAACACAATGATTCACCTATACCTAAGGAACTGAAAACCAAAATTAAATTATTTTATCAAAAATGTAACACGTGTCATTTTAACAATTACCGATTTATTTAGTACAACTATTATAATAGTATTAGTATCTTAGTATCACCCACATACTATATTTAAATGTGGGTAAAGCCACAATAATTTTTAGGATGTGTGGGCACATAGGGTCTTATGGTCTTGAACACTTATCATTGAATTTAATTGTATAATATACGAGTACGAGTACTTACCCAAGAGGTAATAACTTATTAAACTTAATACATAGCTAATTAATCATTAGTGATGGTGTAGGAATTATGCTATCCTATTCTATAAGCGTTAGGGTAGTATATATATATATAAATATTTAAGTCCTCCTAATTCAAAAATTTGTAGGCGCCTCTGAATATTATATATAATATTTACGGAACTATTGCGATATTATTGAATATGTGTTCTAATTTGCATGTTTCTTCAATCATATTCACAAATCGGAAGTATTAAAATATTGGTTATAACCGCTTGTAATTTTATTTGTTTATTATTTTGAATAATTCAAAATGAATTAATTATTAATATTTGCAATATTTCTATAAATTACTAAATGAGTTATTGATATTATTATCATCATATTAATAACGTTTATTTTACTAATCTACACAAAAAAAAAAAAACAACGCACTTAATAGTCAACACATAATGTACCTTAAAATCGTTGTGATCAACAAAAAGATCTATTAACTGATGCCGAAATCAAAATAGTGGTTATATAATTTCGTTTGAAAATACTAGAAAAAATATACGATAATACACTATTTATAGTTTAACATATAATATTTTATTATTCTATAATGTTTATAAACTTGTTTTTGTATTTCCAAAACATGACATGTAAGCAATTGAGATGATTATTTGTGTTCATTATTATTGCAATTCTAGGTGAAAAAAATAAAAAATACTTTTATCAGAACATAATGGTTATAATGAATACTATGTTAATGTTCAATTTTTTTTACACTTATATACTTAATGTTATTATATGCATTGAGTTATACAACAATACAAATTTAATGAACCATCCAACCATCAATACATATATATATATATTTGGAACTTGGGTCAAAAAGGGCCAATCTCACTATTTAACACTTTTGGATAATAAACAATTACATTTT